AGGTCGGTAATTTTTAGGTCGGTATTCACTATTTTTTTAGTAGCGGATGTTTTTCAAGTCACACAAAGCTATACTACACTATTCGAGTGAAACCCGAAGGTTGAAGATGAATTTTAGTAATAGTTAAAGATATACTTTACAAAGGAAAAAATTGTCTACTTTTGTAAGAGAGAAAAAATCTGAAACCTCAATCATATATAGTTAATTTGTAACCTGATCTCTTGTTTCCCAAATAATAAACGAAAAGGAAAGAAAAAGCTATAAAATATACATGAAAATAGACAACTAAGACTTTCCAAATCTAAAAAAGAATAAGAATTGAATTTCTACCACAACTACACTGTAGTAATCTGGAGTCGTGCACAAATAACACTAAAGTGACCAACACTGGAGCAATATTTTTCTACCCTCTACCCCTCCCCTCCTAAGATAGCTCCTAAACTAATTTGGTCGTCGGCAAGTCTCTTTATGTGTCCGTCATCCTACATTAACTTTGGTCATTTCTTACTTAATCCTCTTATCTTTTTCATTGGATGTCCTTAAAGAGAGAGATGCCATTTTATTCTATGTTCCGTCTATGCCTTCGATCGAATTTAAGCATTTCTAATCTTATATAACTGCACACCCTTATTTATATGTATTTTATGGCTTTCATCTAGCAAACATATTAAGCTAAGAGGCTCAATATTCACTCACATGCATGTAAGATTATCGGACTAACAATTGTACTATAAAACTTACCTTTAAATTTTATAGATATCTTCCTATTACACAATTTTACATAACCTACCTCCTATTAAGTCATCAACTGCTAAAATTCATGTGTTACATCTTCAGCTATTTGCATCAATATGCCTAGACATTCAAATTGTTTGTATTTATCTTGGCACAAAAATTTCTGTCTAATACCACTTCAACTTCATTCTTCTTAAGGGGCTAAACTTGAAGTTTGTCTGCTCCAAACAAATAATGTAGTCAGACAGGAATTTTAGGACTTACTGTGTAAGTACCAGAATATGACGGAATTCACATAGAAAGTGAATGAGCATCGTTTAAGGTAAGTTGATAGAAATGTTCTACGAAGTATATGTTGTATTGTGAAAAACATTTAGCTTCAACTCGACTCAACAAAAGACTTATCCCATGTTGCAAGTTAAGCATTCAACAATTAGCATAAGAAAGAACAATATAGAAAAGGATCAATATATATATATATAAATATATATAAAGTAATGTCGCAACCTCGGGCTAAATTCGATATTTCTATGTATAGGTCAACCACCATTCATCAAATAATTATGGATCATGAATATATAGCTGACCAACAATTTGTAAAATCGGCTCAATTGCAATGCCCTTATGTAGGTTAATTAACTGAAACTCTTGCTACATGTTTAACTTGCAACATGACGATGATACTAACACTGAAATTAGTAAATCGCTACTCCTTTAGCTTTTGCAATTAACAAAAGAATTATCAACTGAAACTAATGAGAGAATATCTCATCTCACTGAAATTCATACGAACTGTACTACCCAATTCATAATCTTAAGAAATTAAATAATTAAAAGATACTTGTGATGACATTTTCGTGTACCTCTCATATCATCCATTCCAAGCTAAATATGTGAGAAAAACATGTGCATCTTTACAAAGTTTCACCAACACAGCATGTATAAATTGGTCCCAAACTTGATTCCGCATCTGGGACAGGTAGCCTAATTAATTAGACTCTTCATCACATCAACTTATCAGAAAATTATAGAATTTATAAGTAAGCATGTACGTTAAAGGGAAGACACAATGGGAAATCGAAAAATATTGACAAAGCATTCATTACCTACACCATAAAAGTTGAAAGTGATATCCATCTAATAACTTTTCCTTCTTTTTCGTAGTACAATCTCATCTATCTCTTCTTCCTTTGCCTTGTACTTTTAAACATATAAGAAAATTACATCAACATGCATGTGGAGAAATCAGTAAGAAACAACTCAAAAGAAAATTAAAAGGGTTGATAGATAATGAAGTGCAGTAACTATACATAAATATTGCAGAAAAAATCACCAACTAAAAAGTTGATGAATTTGAGATTAAAAAAAAAAACAAAAATCACATGGATGGAAGCAGAATCATTTTACAGAACAGCCAAAATTGTGAACAATTATATGTATAGATCGGATACCTTCTGTGAGAGTAAGTAGTGAAATTGTGAACATTAATGCTCTTATCTTGTGATTTACTAACAAACTGCTCAATCATAATAATATATGTGTAATTGATCCTCATTGAACCCATGAAATTGTGAAATCAAAATTGGGCTTCAGAGACAACAACAGGGAAGAAAGTAGAAGAGTATAAAATCAGGAAAAAAATGACACGATATTGAACACGTGTTAGCTACTGAAGTAGGACAACAAAAAAACTTTTTATAATTCATCAATTTACCATACAACGTGTGTTACTTTAAGTACAACCCTTTTGTTGCTCATTCACCGTACAACATGTGTTACTTTAAGTACAACCTTTTGTTGCTGTGTTAGTCCTTCTAATTGCCATTTCTAAATAATGGTAAAATAAAAATATAATTTTCTTGTGACAGGAATGGAGGAGATTGTTGTGCTAAATTTTTTCAGGGAAGTCAAGAAAGGTGTATTTATAATCTCTCTTATTCTTTCTTTCCATAATTTATTGTGAATTTAACCTTTTGAAGACTTCATTTATTTTATTAAGATATTTCAAAGTGAATCAAGAATTTGAAACACTTGTAAGAATTATGAGGTATTCAATTTCATTTCTCAAAATGAGGCCTATATGATGGACATTCACTATTTGAAATTCAAATATTTCTTTGATATGATATGTTGAATAAAATAATAATGTGACACTTCTCTTTTATCACGATTACCATTATTTATTATTTCAATCAAATTTTTATTTATTTTTAAATATATAAAATCTGCAAAAAATAATAATATAATAATATAAAATATTTTATTTATTTCTCCTCAATGTTACTACAATCTATTACTTTTCCTCTTTCTTCATCAATACTATAATTTTACTTTTCCTTAAATTCTTAACGTGACACCTTCTATTTTTTTTTTTATATAGTTTTCTAAAATAAAAGAATTTATTTATCTATCCTCCTTATAAAATACCATAATTTATTATTATACCTTTTATTTTTACAATTTTCCAAAAATAAGATATCATATCTATCTCTCCTCCTTATTACCATAAACTATTCTTATTCCTATTAATTTTTCTATCATTCAATCTCATTTAATTTGTTGCCATAAAAATTTGTAGAAAACTGAAAGTGTTTTTTATTTTATTATTAATTAATTTTCCTGAGAACCTTCTTTTACCTTCTCTGGTATTTTTTTATTTATTAAAAAATAAAACACTTATCAAATTTTGATAGATCTCAATCACATTTACTTTTTATTAATTGAATTTACTAATTAAGCATTATAATTTCAAATTGGTTATAACCATTTTTACTTTTTCTTCCTCCCTCTCTCTCTCTCTATATATATAGTTTACCTGTAGTTTGGGTAATTTCTATTACCTTCTCTATTTCTTGATATTAATGATAGGAAATTTTATCTCTTGCAAACATTCTTTGCATTCTACTTAATAAGTTATCTTCTGTTTTAAGATTTAATTTTAATCCTTGGATTTTTCTAAATATCTCTCCATCAAAGGTAGCTTTTAAAGCGTATCCTCTGTGATCTTCTTCAGTTTCTAAGACTTGAACTGAATCTTCTCTTTCTTGGATTTCTTTACTCATTAGTTAGAATCTTCTGAACTGGTTGAGTATTCTTCATAGATTTCATTGAAGAAGTCTTCACTTTCTATTGATTTTATGGATTCAAGATCTGAATCAATTTCTACTCTGTCAATTGTTGAGATTTTCACTCTTCTTTTGTTACATTCGTAACTTTTATGGCCTTCTTCACCACAATTATAACATTTGCCTTTTTTTGCAGGTTTTGTTTTTTTAAATTCTTTTTTCTTTTTGTAATATCTTTTCCTTGGTACATAATTTTGTTTAGAATTTTTTTTCCTCTTTATTAAACCTTTTTTAAGTTTTCTTTTTTTATATGGTTTATCATTTCTTTTCCACTATCAAATATTTTATAATAATATTCTTATATATATATAATTTTCTTGTGATAGGAATGGAGGAGATTGTTGTGCTAAATTTTTTCAAGGAAGCCAATGAAGGTGTATTTGTAGTCTCTCTTATTCTTTCTTTTCATAATTTATTGTGAATTTAACCTTTTGAAGACTTCATATATTTTATTAAGATATTCCAAAGTGAACCAAGAATTTGAAACACTTGTAACTTGTAAGAATTATGAGGTATTCAGTTTCATTTCTCAAAATAAGGCAAAATGAGGCCTATATGATGGACATTCACTATTTGAAATTCAAATAATTCTTTGATATGTTATGTTGAATAAAATAATAATGTGACACTTCAATTTTCCAAAAATAAGATATCATATGTATCTCTCCTCCTTATTACCATAAACTATTCTTCTTCCCATTAATTTTTCTATCATTCAATCTCATTTAATTTGTTGCCATAAAAATTTGTAGAAAACTGGAAGTGTTTTTTATTTTATCATTAATATTATTAATTAATTTTCCTGAGAACCTTCTTTTACCTTCTCTGGTATTTTTTTTATTTATTAAAAAATAAAACACTTTTCAAATTTTGATAGATCTCAATAGCATTTATTTTTTATTAATTGAATTTACTAATTAAGCATTATAATTTCAAATTGGTTACAACCAGTTTTACCTTTTCTTCCTTTATATATATAGGGGCATGGCCCGTGCTTAGCATGGGCCTAACATAAACATAATTAGTCTATTATTCTCAATATAGGCAAAACATTGTTGGAAACTATTCACTTATATAAGTGACCAATTGCAAGTATTAACTAATTCAAGTTATGTGTTTGTTAAAATAAAAGATGTGATCTGAAAAATTAGAAAACAAAGTTTATTCATTCAAGCATCTGCAAATTATACACCATACCAAACCATCAATAAAGAAAAAGACATGAAATGTTAACACAAATTAAACAACTTCAAAAGAAAGAAAGAAAAGAAGAATAATCAAGGAGGTGAAAGAACATTAAAATTTTACAGTCTATCATTCAATTCTAGTGGTGTCACAGCTTTCACAGGGACCATCAACTCTTCAACTTTTTGTACATATTTGCTTTTCAGTGCCCATAAATTATTATCTGTCGTTCCTGCAAATTATTGGAAACAATTGATGCTAAAGATCATATACTTTGTTTTGTATTTTATTTTACCTAGTAAAAAAGTCAGTAATTGATGTACCTAATTTACTGCACTTAAGACATTGCAGCTTCTAAATCTAATAAAACAACAATGAACACTTTTAAATAAATAAATGAAAGATGGTAACCCGAGGGATGGAGTAAATGAATCATGTGAAGTAAGAAAATTGAAGTCAAAGTGAATGTGTCAATTACGTGGCCATTATATCAGATATTTGCCAATTCTAACCAAAAAGAAATTGTTAGAGAGTAAATTGGTAAAACTTTATAGAAAATGACCTTTTATTTTGTCTATCTTGCCCTTTCATGTCCTCCTTCATGTCGCTTCCCTTTTCCATTTTGTCGTCCCTCTCATCTCACTTCCTGTTTTGTTGTCCTCTCTTCCCAATACCATTTTTATCCAGTTTGATCTGGAAAACAGGTAACTGACATAGTGTACTTAATTTTGGAACAAAATCACTTGTAGAACAGTAAAGTAGGTAATAAACATGAACAATACTTAAGACTCTGAAGTCTTAGTGATAGTTAAGTAGTAGAATGAGGAAGAGATTATACAAATCAATAGAGTTCAAACAACAACATATCTTATCAGATCTTATCACTACCTCGTGGAGGTAGAGATACTCTTTCCGAAAGATCAAATCACTGGTCCCGATAGTTATTGTTGAGTAGTTAATCTGAACTGCAGCTTTAAGAAATCAAGACTAAGATAAAATCAAAATGAACTAACCACATACATCCAGGTTAACCAACACTCATTCTAATACATAAATCTCTCTAGAAGGGCAGATAGGGATTAAAAGAAATTAAGAAAATGAAATACGATGCTACATTTCTCAAGAGTTAAAAAGAGGGACAACCAATTTGAGTAGTAGATTCAGATTGATGGTGATCTACTATACAACTAAATGTTGCAACAACTCAAAATCTCAAGGAAAACAAATCAAGACATTCTTGCAAATTAAAGGCACTAATAAAATTGTGGCAGAAATTCTCGTGACTGTGTGGTTCTCTACGGAAAATCACTTCCACATGCTTGGTCTTAGCAATACGCCATGTGCACAAGGAAAAATGTATTATAACCACACATTTCTTGTTACCCATAAACATGACTTATGAGAAAATCAGTTATTAAGAGAATTCGAAGAAAAACAGGATAAGAAACTACCCTTTCATTTACTTTCTCAAACACTTAATAATGCTTCCGTTTTTTTTCAACATTATTGCAGAGTTAATTGTGGAGATCAGCAAATTCACCCATTTGACCATTATCACTTGTAGACACACTAAACTGATAAAGAGTTTTATATGAGGGGTGTATAAATGAAAACCCCTTCTTTTCATATCTATTTGAACTGATTAAACATATCGCACAACAAATAGGATCAACGTTTTCAGTAATCAAAGGAAAGAAAAAAATCTACATCAAAGGCATGTTATATAAAGTATGTGAAATAAGGATTATAGAAACGAAGGAGAAACAAAGATTGATTAGCTTACCATTCAAAGTAATTGTAGACAAACAAAGAAGAAGTGAATATTTGATCACCGCTTACCGTTCAACTCAACTGTAGACAAACGAAGAAGAAGTGATTGACCCTTAATTAGGAATCAATTGATTTTTTACTATATCTCGATAAATTTTTTAATTTATATAACTCATTTCTATATAAACAACCAAGATGCTTAGAACATACATAACATATTCAATGTGGCTTACTTCTATAAAAATCATAAATAAAATATAAAGGAAAGCTTCAAACTCTACCTAATTAGTTCATATGATCAGCAAAATCCAGAAAAACTTGAAAAAAGAAAAAAATTTGTACTCTCTTGCAGAAATAAGTTTGTCTTTTGGAAACAACCTCTCTATCTCCACGACGTAGTTGTAAGGGTCTACGTACACTCTACCTCCTCAAACCTCACTTATGGGATTACACTGGATATGTTGATGTTGTTGTTGTTGAAATAAGCACAAAAGAATGGACTCACACTAACATAGCTAAGGCAAAAGATAACTCAAACTCTGTTTTTCAAGAATCTTAAACCTCGATTCACAGCCTGGGGGGGACAAGGTTATCTGATGCCTATGCTCGTGAGAGGTAGAAAGTACCCATAAAATTAGTCGAGGTCCATGCAAGCTAGCTCAAACACCACAATTATCAAAACAAAAATATCTTAAACTTGGATAATCCTTTGTAGAATTTCTACATAATAAGCCTAAATCATTACCAGAATCCAGTAAAACTTCCGTAAAGATCAAATTCTTACGTTCATCTGCAACTAAAAATCCCGAAAATGAAGAATCAGATTACTCACATTGACAAAAGTGGGGTAAAAATAACTTGAGCTTTTCTATTCAAAACATCAACAACAACTTCTTTAATCCCAGAAAGTCTTTTAATTACCTTTAAATTCCTAGCACTATTTTTTAAAAAAGAAATTACTAAACAACCTTAGTGAAAATTCCAAATTAGCCATTGCATCCAACCCCCATCCCATCCCTGGACTATCCTACACCGGCTACCCCTAAATCCTCACCCATCCATCCCATTGAGTTTTGCTGGATTACAACGGCCCCCATCCCATCCCTTGACTATCCTATACAAAATGGAAAATCTCTTCTCCAAGGAGTTAGGAGACAATAATCGACATAACTATGTCATCTTATATAGGGACAAAATGAATACAATCTCACCCTGTGGTCTTCGAATCTATAGTAGACAAACGGTAAGTAAAGAGATATTGTATAACTGCACCAACTATTCATTATTTCTGAAGTAATACAGTGAGTGCATCACATGTTAAAGAAATAAAATTAAGTTTATTACTTTTATTCATGAACATGTACAACTCTTGAGATGAACTTTAATTTGTCAGTAAACTATAAAATAGAGGTAATCTATAAAGGCTTAAGCCTATTGGATTAGATTATGTTCTCCGTGGGGGCGGTTTTTCTTCAACTCCAAAACTGTATACGTCAGTTCTGGTGGTTATATGATTTACATATGAGAGGCGACAATCAGAAGCTGAGAAAAGAAATTATCTCAGGTTACATGACAGAACAAACCAAGTAGTGTTACACTCCCAATTTCTTTCAGGACACATAGTATTGATATTTGCGAGTATGAAAGACTGAAGGATTAAACAGAGGAGATAACTCTTAAGAGAGACCTCATCAAGAACTTAAGAAAATTTGTGTGATAATTTAACAAATTCAGCGAGGCTAATTGATGAAGGAAGTCTATTCACACTATATTCATTTTAGTGCACTTATTGACTTAATGTTTCCCAAGTTCGAATGTGAGGCCTCTATTTGAGGATGTAATAAAACAACATTTACCATTAGAACTAATTGAGCAGCGTGTGTTATCCCTCTGTATTTACCTGAATCACCTATGACTGTCGTGTTATGCAAGTTCGATTATGCTTTAAGGTGGAGGAATTTTTTGCAGTAGTCTTTTATTAAAACATCATTTACACTACCTAAATGAATGGTCAACATGTAGTTTTTCGACACAGAAACAAAAAATCTACCTATTAAAGAGACAGATAAATCAAAGAAGCCACAGGTCGATAATTAGAGTGTCCTAAAGAGTTACATTTACAAAAGTTGAGGAGACTGGACATGCTGTCAAATTAATTCAACACTGATGCTGCATTGAAACTGAAGAGTCCATGTAACGTGAATACAATTCATCAAGTATACACAAAACAGTCAGCAGATAATTTCAGTGATGTCCAACAAAATTCATATAACATAGCCACCAAGTTGACCATAAAATCCATCAAAACACATTAATGAGGAATTCATCTTACTGCAGTTTTGAATTCCCCCGACTTTAAGTATCTAAGCCACATTTTTACTGAATTTTCTCTTCAAGTGCAGTAAAGTAGCTCAAAGAACAGAAAGCAAAGTTACAACTGACAACTACATCGAGAAAGAGGCTACTATGGACTGTCAATTTTTACATGTGAATCAAAAAATAAAAAATTAAGCTTGCATAACAACGGGTAATATACCAAATTCATATTAAATTTCAGGTCGAACAACATCATTTATCACGCCAAAACAGTCTAGCTGTGCAGCTTTTAAGCAATTTGGATACACTCATATCTAAAAATTGGCTAAACTATTGATAAATGTACTATCTAATGCTGGAAATATGACATAGTACAGTGAAAATTGATCAATTTACTACCATCACTGCATTTTGATACTCCTTGAATAGAGAAACAGATGGAAATGGACCAGCCAAGTTATTCCTAATGACACCATCTCTATCTTTTAACTACTTTTGTACTTGGCTTCCGATTGACGCTCAGCTCAGGTAAAGCACAAGAACAATTAGGAGTAAATTGAAATTGTATATTACCAGTGGTCATATACTCGGGAGCAGCACAACAGAAGGTACCCATTTTACTGTTGATTGACTCAACTTTGCATTGTAATTCTGTCAATTCATGGTATGGACAGATCATAAGAGGACAACATAAATATTGTTAAAACTTGTAGAAGACTAAATTTTAAAGTAGTTTTACATACAGCAGCAAGCAAAATGTTAGATGATTTGAAATCCTGATATATAATTTTAGCTTCTGGGCTGTGGAGATATGTCAGTCCTTTAGTTGCCTCGAGAGTAACCTTCATTCGGAGATTCTATGATAGTGGTTGGAAATAAGCACTCCTCTGTTCAAGATGTACCAAAGGTTAATTCAATGACATTACAGGGATGATATTAGTAGATGTCCTCAAATTAGATGTGGATTCAAGATCTCAAGTTTATGGATTTTTATAATGAACTAAGTTCATAGTAAAATAAATTTCTTATACATGGTTTAGAAAAAGCAAAATCTACATATCATATTGTGGATCCGTTCTTGCATCAAATATGCAGTTATGGTTTCACACGAACTATACTTACTTCTGAATAGATGATTTTCCAAACTTCCTCTTGGAATGAATTCGCACACCAGAAGCATGTGTTCATCTTCTAAGCTGGCTCAGGTAAGCAATTTTTGCCTGTAGTTTAAGTGTACAGAGAAAACAGTTAATCAACTTATCAAGATCAAGAATTATAGGAAAGCTTCAATGTCTTTAATAAAACAATCATCGAAAATTTTAAAGGGAAGAGTTTATATACCAGTCATTCCTTGTGACCTTGAAAGCTTTCTTCAAGAATTTCACTTTGACTTTGAGGAGTCAACGGAGCCGATAAATATGAATGTAATCATGGAAATGACGCCTAATTAATATGTATCTTTGTATGTCTTCTGTCTGTTCCTAGTAAAAATTGCACCAGTTTACATCAATTAAGTAATAAACTGAATAAATCATAGCATGACTATCTTATAGCTTATTTCAAACTGAACACATACATCTTCATTACGTTTTTTAAAATTTAGTAGAAATAGAAATTTATAATAGTATCTGATAAGTAAATCAAATTTGTGACTATCTTCTTGGCTCATTTGTTCTGGATGAACTTAAAGTTTCATAATGAACTTACTTTCAGCAGGGTTATAAGCATCCAGATCATAAAATTCTTCAGTTAAACCATCAGGGGCAAATGGTATAGGAACAAATCTCTGAGCCTATTTGTAATTCCCTGAAGGTGATAATTATTGATTGAAATCTGCATTTTTCCATAGCTTTCAGATAAATGAATAAGATGTGTTAAAAATGGAGATTGTTTGCTATTTATATACCGAAACTTGCACTCTATGAAAAATAAATAACTTATCTTACAAAGAGTTCTTCATGTTCAAAGAAATTCTCCCTTGTCATATAAGCAAATTATAGTTATGTTTATCTACATATACATATGTTAGTATTCAACATTATAATTTAACTGCATATCCAACTGGAAAATTAAATCAACAAAAGAGGGAGAAATACTGGACTTTCCACATAGGAGAACGGGTTGTGAAAATAGGGTAACTCTAATAGCTAATCCTTCTAGTTGAAAGTGTTTCGAGAAAAAATCAAAATCAAGTTAGATGTACCTGATAATGCTCAATGTTCCCTGCATGGCATCTTTTCAATTTCTTTCCTTTCCTTTCTTCTCCAAGTACCTGTAAAGTCCTATTTATGAAAAATTAACAAATTGAGAAAACACCCACTGACCCTTGTCAAGAACAAACTTATTATGAGTTCAATCGTGCAAGTTGGCTAATTCCCCGTCTTTTTAGTTTAAACCTGCCTTTCACTCATAGAAGTGTAGTGTTAGTTGTTGGAGAAGTTAAACCCCGAGGGAAGATGAACAATAAATATAACAAAAGAGAAACGACCCGTGCATAAGGTAAATGAACTCGTCGGCATCAAGGCTTGGCTCGTCACCACCATCCTCTGCCGTTAATTCTGACTAAGAGGGATAAAGGGGGAGAAGTCAAAATTCATATAAAATAGACGATTTTGCACGGTGACCTGAAAATCTTTCCGATTCTTTACAGTTTTCTTTGCAATGTCTTCACTAATTTTCTCTAGAGAGAGACGGAGTGGACCGATTTTCACCGCTTCGATGAAACCTCCGGTGACTCGACAAAGTTTGAGGGAAGGTGAGGAATTGAACTTTGGTTTTGTACAATCGTGAAGGGAAAGGTCTATTAAAAACAAACTAGTTAGTCAATTAGGTAGGAGTCCTTCGAGTCTTAAAAATTGGGTAAAAGTGACAAATAGTATTAATTAGGTTAAAAGATATTTCTCAATAGTCCCAAACTTTTAACTTTTACACTTTAGTCCAACAACTCTCGTAGTTGTGGAGACAACTTCTTTAGTCGTCCGACAACTTCAGTAGTTGTCCAAACAACTTTAATAGTTATCCGGACAACTACGAAAGATGTTATTAGTTTACTCCTTTTATTAATATTAAAATAAAAAAGTAGAAAAAAATAAAGGGGCCCACTTGTCCCTTTTTTTAAATTGGAAACCTATAAGGCACTTTTAACTCAATTTCCCATCGTGAAGCTGGAGCTATTTTTTGTGCATTTTTTAGTACACGTGCTTAGTAGTGGTAGCGACATTTGTTCTCATGTAAAGGAAAAAGTACTAATTTAATGTACCATTTAGATTGCTTTTGGTACAATTCTTTGATGCTGTGATAGTCCTAGTGTTGTTGGCTTATATATAAGACTAGATATGAGACCCCGTGCCAGCACGGGGCCCAATATATGTTACTGTTTCTGTTTAATTTATGTGGTACATATGAAATTTGAAATTAATCAATTTTTTAGTATGTTTTTATATATTTTAAGTTGCTAATTATTTGTATTTAGAGTATGTTTTACGTAAATATATTAGAAATCACAATAATTAACAAGTTAATATAAAAAAAAACTTATAAAAAATTCATTGACTTTTGAAATTTCATTTGTATCACATAAATCAGGACCGAGTAATATATATGAAAATTACATAAAACGTACTATAACTCACAATAATTAGCAACTTAAAATATCTATATATCTATATTTCTCCCAATTTATGCGG